ATCTAAAACAACTTAGAAGGTATATTTACTGTGATTGCTTATACGAACCTCCAAAAAAAACAAACTCTACCACCAACTGTAACAATCTAGAAGGTATAATTGCTTTGTTTTCTCATAAGTATCTCAAGAAGAACAGATTTAGATCACTTTCTTCAACAACCTAGAAAATATAATCGCTTTGATTGCTTATAAGAATCTCGGCAACAACAAAACTCCATGACTAATTTTAACAATCTAGAAAGTCTAATTGCTTTAATTCTCATGAGAATCTCAACAACAACATTTTTCCAGCAATATCTGGATTAATTTGGAAGTTATAATTGCTTTCATTTGTCAGTGAAATCTGAACAACATCAGGTTTCCACAACTATCTGTAACAATCTCGAAGTTATAATTGCATCGATTGCTGATGCTAAAAAGATCCACAGCAACAAAATTCCAACATTAACTTTCGCAGTCTAGAAGGTATATTTGCTTTGGTTTCTCATAAGTATCTCATCAACAACAAATTTGCACCACTAAATGTAAAACCTAGATTGATAATTTGCTTTGATTGCTAATAAGAACCGCCAAACCAACAAACGTCGACTAATAGCTGTAACAATGCAGAAGATAAAATTGCTTCGGTTTCTCATAAGAATCTCAACAAGAACAGGTGTCAATCCTTATCTGTAACAAGTTAGACGGTATGACTCCTCCAATTTCTCATAGGAATCCCAACAATAACAAGTTTCCACCACTATTGGTAACAATCTAGAAGGTATTAAAATCCACCATTAAAATATCTCATAAAAAATTTTCAACAACAAGTTTCCACTGCTATCTATAACAATCTAGAAGTTATAAAATTCCACCACTAAGATTTCTCATCAAAATCTCATCAACAATAGGTTTCCACCTGTAACTTTAACAATCTGAAGGGTGCAATTGCTTTGATTTTTCATAAAAATCTCAGAAAAAACAGTTTCCAGTCACTATCTGTAGCAATTTAGAAGGTATACTTGCTCTGAATTCTCATCGAGATCTCAACGAAAACAAGTTTCTACCACTATCTAAATAAAGAAAGTAAAAATTGCATTGATTGCTTATAAGAATCTCCAATTAACAAACTTCCACCACTAACTGTAACAATCTAGAAGATATAACAATCCACCACTAAAATCTATCATAAAGTTTCTTATAATAACAGGTTTCAACAAACTTTTGTAACAGTTTAGAAAGTTTAAAATTCCAATATGAATCTTTTTCATAAAATTTTTAACAAAAACAGGTTTCCACTACTATGTGAAACAACTTAGAAGGTATAGTTGCTTTGATTGCTTATTCACTAAGTGTAAAAATTTAGAAAGTCTAATTGCTTTGGTTTCTCATAAGTATCTCAACAGAAACAAATAATTTGCACCACTAACTTTAACAACCTAGAAGGTATAATTGTTTTGATTGAATATAAGAACCTCCACAACCAAAAAACTCCACCACCAACAGTAACAATGCATTAGGAATAACTGTTTTGGTTTCGCATCAGAACCTCAACGAGAACAGGTTTCCATTTTTTAGTTACTCCATTACTCCATTACCTTCCACAACCAGGTATAATTGCTTCGCGTTCTCTTAAAAAAAATGTAACCACAGCAGGTTTCCACCATTCTCTGTAACAACCTACAAGGTTTAAAAATCCACCACTAAAATTTCTCATAAAAATTTCAACAACAACATGTTTCCACCACTATCTGAAACAACCTAGAAGGTATAACTGCTTTGATTTCTTGTAAGAACCTCCACAGCAACAAAATTCCATAACTAGCTGTAAAAATCTAGAAACTTTAATTTTTTTGGTTTCTCATAAGTATCTCAACAAAAACAAACAATTTGAATCACCAATTGAAACAATCTAAAAGTTATAATCACTTTGATTGCTTATAAGAACCTCAAAAACAAAAAAAAAATCCACCACTAATCGTAACACTGTATGAGGTATAATTTTTTTGATGTCGCATAAAAACCTCATCAAAATGTTTCCATCACTCATTAACAAGTTAGAAGTTATAATTGCGTTAAGTTCTCAAAGAAATCTTAGCAATAAAAGGTTTCCACCACTATCCTAAACAACCTAGAAGGCATAATTCTTCTGATTGCTTATATGAACCTCCACAATAACAAGTTTCTTCCTTTAACTGTAATAGTCTAGAAAGCTTAATTGCTTTGGTTTCTTATGATTTAAAAAAAACAAATAGTTTGCACCCCTATAATTGCTTTCATTTGTCAGTGAAAGCTGAACAACATCAGGATTCCACAACTATCTGTAACAATCTCGAAGTTATAATTGCATCGATTGCTGATGATAAGAAGATCCACAGCAACAAAATTCCTACACTAACTTTAGCAATCTAGAAGGTATATTTGCTTTGGTTTCTCATGAGGATCTCAACAACAACAAGTTTGCACCACTTAATGTAAAACCTAGATTGCACATTTCCTTTGATTGCATATAAAAACCGCCACAGCAACAAAAATCGACCACTAGCTGTAACAATGTCGAAGACAAAATTGTTTCAGTTTCTCATAAGATTTTCAATAAGAACAGCTTTGCATCATTATCTTTAACAAATTAGACGGTATAATTCCTCCAATTTCTTATGGGAATCTCAACAACAACAATTTTCCTCCATTATCTGTAACAACCTAGAAGGTATAATTGCTTTTATTGCTTATAAGAACCTCAACAGCAACAAAATTCCAACATTATTTTTAACAATCTTAAGGTATAAATGCTTTGATTGCTCATGAAATTGTTACCAAGAACAGTTTTCCATCACTATTTGTAACAATGTGAAGGTATGATTGCTTGGGTTTCTCGTAAGAATCTCAACAAAAACAGGTTTTCATCACTATCGATAACATGTTATAAAGTATAATTGCTTTGATTTCTCACAGAAAACACTCAACAAAAACAACAGATTTCTGCTATCATCTGTATTAACATAGAAGGTAAAACTGCTTTGATTACTTATAAGAACCTCCACAAATAAAAAAGCTCCACCACTAACTTTAACAACCTAGAAGGTATACATGCCTTGGTTTCTCATAAGTATCTCGACAACAAGTTTGCACCACTAAATGTAAAACCTAGAAATATAATGTGTAATTGCTTTGATTGCTTAAAAGAACCTCCACAATAACAAAATTCTTCTACTAACTCTAACAATCTAGAAGGTATAATTGCTTTGATTTCTCATATATGAATCTCAACAATAATAAATTTTCAGTGTAATTTCGTAGCTCATTATCACCTTAACACGGCTTTCCCATTATTACCTCCTCCTATCCCTGTAAGAAACAATTACAACCCCCTGCACTGTGATTCAACCATTATAGCGTTTATAATGGACTTGAAGCAAGTTTTGGTGTTAACTATTCTCAGAAGAATAATTGTCGGCGGTAGATAGCAATAACACCTGCACATGAGTCGGATTTCCTTTTTCTCCCCTTTCGCCCTATAACCAAGCTGTGAATTTTGATCGGCCTACTTGTATTTCGCAATCTCACATACCAATTATGTGTTTAAGGTAGTTTCGAGTGTAAATGCCCTGTTGGCTACATGGAACTGGGTGAGCAAGGAGTTCCCACGAGCAAGAGATGCGAGCCACAGCGTGAGTATTAATAACTGGCGCCTTTATCCTATGAATGAAAACCAGAAAACCCTATTTTGAGTATATTAGACAGTTTAACCTGTATAAATTCTAGTTATACCATGAAAATGACAACTCTGTGATGATTTAAAAGTAGTTTTTTGGTTATTTCATTTTGTGCATAAATGTTTTTGGGCTGAACATGTATTGATTGAAAACCGATAAAATTCAGCTTTTTATTAAAGAAAAATAGCTTGCAGAAAATCAGTGAAAGAAAGACTAATTATGGCAGATAAATAACACCTGCGAATCCATGTTTTCCCTTTTTAGAACATTCAAATTCAGTTCCCGCACTGATAAGAAAAGGATTGCAACCAAGTTAATGCAGAAAACGCAGCAAAGGCTAAAAACAAAATATTAAGTTTGATTCAAAATGGGGCTTGACAAAATGCGCCTCGAACATTGATATTGACAACGTAAATTGATAAAATTTTGCTTGATTATATTTTTCATTGCCGCAATAACCGTTCGATTTCCAAAAATCAGAGAGGCTTCCCTTATACTCAATAATTTGCGTTATAAACCCTCGTCTCCAGGTTGACCATAACTTCATGTCATACAATTTCCATATATGAAAAACTTCTTGCCATTCAACTCCATTCACCATTGCGAGGCCAAACTGTGCACTGGATAGGAGCACATTTTTTTGTCTGTATGTTCCTCAAATTCGCATATTTTTGGAGCGATTTTGAGAGGTACAATGATTTAGGTATTTGTTTGTGGAATCCAAAACAGCATAGAAGATCAAAGAAAAGTAGCAATGTTGCGGATTCCGCAACAAAACTGATTTTGAACTGTTGCGGATTCCGCTTACAATGCAGAGAATGCACAGTTTGGCCTCGTAATGACACAAAAAGTGTATGACGAGTATTTTTCTAGAAATCATTTTTTTTTCTAAATTTGATTGCTGAAAACTTTTGGATTATGTTTGTAAACTAACGCAAGTGACGAAGATCTTGGTTTTCTCAAAGCTGGATTCACCAAAAGTTAGACGGTCTTGCTTTTACATTGCATTTGTATCGAGCTGTATTACACATACGATACACTTTTAAATTTTGGGAAAAGTTTTCAACGATGATTATTTTCAAAATTTGAACTTTTAAATTATCAGACATTGATCAAGGTATACATAAACACGCCATGCAAAAACATAGGATTTTTTAGCGTGTGTAAAAAAAGTTGTTATCGAAAAGGAAGAAAATCCAACTTTAGTGCATCCAAGACTACGTTATGCAGACAAAAAATTCAATTTTGCATGCAGATTTTTTTTCAAAAATTATTGTTTGTTTGAAAAATTCGATTTGCGGGTGAAAAAATACAAAAAAAAACGTTTGGGATAAATTCAAATTAACTTTTCGTTTTCAAAATTTTGTTGTCGTCATCAAAAAATGCTAACCGTTTAATTTCCATATAAAAAAATTGTATGGTTAGCTTTTTTTTGACAAAAAGGTTTTTCTTTTTTATTTAGTATGAATTTTTATTAGTACCAAATTTTATGCCAAAACAACAAAAAGTCCTTGTATATTCGACGACATCATTTAAGCAAAATGTATGAAATTTGTATGACTAATATCTTTTCATAGACTTAGTTTATGGAATTGTTTGAGTATCATTTTCGGTCTATGGAGGTCAACCAGGGCGCGACTCTTGCACTAGGTAGCTTTGATGAAAGTTTATCTTCATTACAAAAAATTAAATCGATTTCGTAGTGATTTTGACGGATTTCACTACCTTGTTAAATTGATGTTAATTGATGTTTTAGGCTGCATAAATGGATTTTTTCTTCTGTAAAAATCCATTTAAAGCCACGCTTAATGGATTTATGCATCTCAACGAGCTACCGTTAAATCAATCTTTATCAGTACATTTTCATTAATAATTTCGATTTCAATTTCAATCTCAAGTTTGCCAGTGCGATGAACGATCGAATTTGCTGCGATAGTCTGATAGACGATATCAGCTACTTTGGTCGAGGTCCGTGACTTATTTTTCGACTTGGTCGGTCTCTTCGATGTTAATTCCGCGACCGAAAATCCATAGTCTGGACAGTGTTGTAAGTCTCGAACAAAACCTGGAAGTACTGTACCTCGATCACGATGGTCAGAAAAGTAGTCGCGGCGTGCTCGAAAATTATTCGTGGGGTGGTCAAAAAAGTAGTTGCAGCATGGTCGAAAAATAGTCGCCAAAAATTAAGAAACAGTCATCATATAAACCTTTTTGCTCTGTTTATAGCGTACTACTTCTCAGAGATCAAATACACACATGAGAATATGGATGATGACGCGCACATAACTAATTTGCAAGCCAATCTGGAGATGTCGGCAGATGGACTGCACAACCTCCAATTCTATGCCAGAGAACCCCTCACAGACCAACAGGAATATGTCAGACTGCAAATATACACCGGCACTTACGAGTACAGGTAAAGTAGATAAGAAAAGTACACCCGCTCTTTTGGAGAGACATGATGTCCACTTCAGCCAATAGAAATCGATATTAACCTGGTCCAAATATTTTTCTAAATCAGGTTTTCTCGAAATAACTCGAAGTGTACGCCAGAAAAACAGTTTATTTTTTGGTCAAACGTTTTTGAAAAAGTGCCTAGAATTGGCATTTTGCTTGTTTTTGCTTAGAAGAAGCTCAGGTATTTTTTAAAATTTTTAGTCGAGCTAAAAACGTCGGCAAAAATAGCGAATAATTTCGGAATCTTTGATCGCACTTAGAAAAATGGTGCCCTAGTGCTCACTGTCATTTAAAAAGTTACCCGACATTTGAAAAACGACCAAACGAAAATAGTTTATTGAGAACTCTAACTATTCCCCACCCCTTTCGTACAAAATTCAACCCCCTGCCGACCCAAAGGGTCCCCCCTTTGTACTATTTTGAGATATCCATTTTTGGCAGACTGACCTTAAAATTACTGACCTAACTTTACTAGTTTTGAGGAAGAGCGCGCTCCTAAAAAACGCGATTTTTTGGTCGAAATTTTCCAAAAAGTGCCTAAAAAGGCTATTTTTGACCTGTTTTTCAAAATTTTGCCTGCGGCGCAGAAAGTTTGGCAAAAACAGGGTCTTTATAGTGGTTTGGGAGAGCTCAGAAAATAAATTTGGTCGATCTAGAAAAAAATCGACAAAATTTTCAAAAATTTTTTGAAAATCCGCCCCCGCCCTCGAGAATTTCCTAGATCCGCGCGCCTGTTACTATTGGTAACAAAAAAGGAAAAATAAATAAATAGATTCGTTTATTGTGGAGCCATTTTGTTTTGAGGAGTCTGAAGTTTTTCCAATTGATTCAACCTTTGTGCAGAACGCTCATCAGTACTGCCCAGTACTGGAGCAACACTTTCGATGTGTTCCTCATTGTGCCTTTTGGGGAGGAAATTGAGGACAACTTGGAACTGGAGAACAACAGAACCGATCTGTTCCAACTCAGAAATGGACAGTCTGACTTCTACGCCTGCATTTCCGGATGTCTGGGGAAGTATGAAAATTTTGTAAACACTTTTTTCAAAAAATGATTTCAACTTAAGAAAAATGTTGCTCTGCAAAATAGAAACTGAATCAAATCACCTCCCTTTTCCAAATAAAAATTGACCTGCTTAACCTCGCCAAAAAACTGGTTTCAGCTTTGAGGGAATATTTTTTTGGGCATAAACTATCAGATTTTTGGTATCATTTAAGAAAACCGTGAATCGTCTAAAGGCTATTTGGGGAGGCGGAGCAAAAAGCAGAATGAGCAGAAAAAGAGAAAAATATTGACTTAAATTGGGTTATACAAGCTAATTGATAAAACAATTATTAGTATCGTCAAAAAATATCAAGAAAATGAATAAATATGCATGAATTGAATATATTCATTAAGTTTTTTGATTAAAGTTTTTTTTTTAATCTTGATTAAATTACTCAAATTATTCATAAAATGTTCGTTGTTCTGGTATTATTGACATTTCTGATAATTAATTTACCAATTAGCCTAAAAATGATGTGTCGATAATGGAGCGGTGTCAAACAAAAAGAGCAGCTTTTAAACAATTTTCGTTTTCAACAAATTTCTTGTCCGATAACTAGCACCACAAAAAAGAAATGGGTTTTTTTTGGGTCAACTTGAATGACAACAGGTTACAACGGTAAATCGCCCTGCATAAAGCTCGACCAACAATAATACACACTAATATTGAGGGACAATCTCCTGCTGAAGTTTTTGGAAAAATATCCCCCATCCTTGCCTCCTCTTTCGTATAAAACTACTGTGTACGAAGCTTAATTACATGTTTTCTTTGATCACAGCCTTGTATGTGAAATAATGGTGTTTTGCTTGCTGTTCCGCGACAAGTTGTAAAGAAAAAATATTTTGCAATGCTTCGTTCCGCTGAGTCTGCATTCAAAACGAGCGGTATGCTAAGCGTGAATTAGTGTTTGATGCTAATCTAGATTGCAGTTACAGTGATATGTTCAACTCAATGATTTATGTTTTGCTGCGGGTTGTCGCTTTTCTTTAAGTAATGCTTTAAATTATGCTTCTGTTGACGCAAACTGTGCTGATAGCCCATTTTTGGTAAGAAAGAACCCATTTGAAATTGAAAGGATTAAGATTGGACTTGGGAAATTACCTTAAAATTTTTGCTAGTTGCAATATATCGATGTTTTCCCGCATTGGAGTTCCATGAACAAAAATCGATTATAATTGAGTTTCCTTGTCAGTGTCCACAAAAGTGAAAACAAATCAATTATAATCAATTAAAAACGGATTATAATATTACTGTTTTTCGAGGCAACAAAATACTTTTTTCATCCCTTATAATCGATTTATTTAAACCCATTTTTAGTCCAATTTTGTTGTCTGAACGTAACATGGGTATCGATTATATTTACAACTTTATAGACCATGAAAATCCATTATAATCGATTTGTTTTCACTTTCCTTAAATGCGGGTTCAAACTTTTTTTGCTGGTCGAGTTGAATACTAGTTGACCGGCCGCAAAGAGTACTAAAAAAATTCAAGGTCACTTTCGAAAAGGTTGAACAAAAATAAGACTTCCAATGCAATGCTTTGATTTATCGGAATGTCATTTAAAATCTATGAAAAAAAACATTGATTTATAAATCAACGAAACTTTAAAAAAAATGGAAAAGTTGCCCTCACTGAACCATTAGAAAAAAAAACACTTCGCCTGCAAAACGTTCAAGATTTTATGTACAACTGAGATCTAATTTTGGTGAAATTTTTAGGGACTATCTGGTGAAGGTGTGTGATTTGGGCTACTACATGTCGCTGTTCAGGGGGAACAACAACAAATGCACCTCAACCTGGGCGGGCACAGTGACGTCTCTGCAATTCCACAACAGACCATGAAAAAAAACAAGAGATATGAGAAACGAGACATTAATAAAACTTTGGAAGTAATTCAACTAATTCTACCGTCTGGCAGCTGAATCTTTTATTCTTAAATAAGTAATGTAGTTATATTAATCAGGGACGGATCTAGGATTTTCTCGAGGGGGGTGGTGTCATAGGGACAAACTTTATATAGTTTATAAAGTTCATGAAAATTTGGTTCAATCTCCTTGAATGTCTGGCCACCAGTCTTTGTACTAATCACTGTTCTACGTCTGGATACGCCTGAAACAATGGGTGCAGTTTGCCCTACATTTATTGATTCCAATTTACTTTCTAAACACTAATACTTTTTTATACTTCAACATGGCGCAGCTAGCAGATAAAAAAGGGAGAGGGAAGAGCCCTTTAAACATCGTTTCTTTTTGAGATTCCAGAACACCGGAACTACCAACTTATTGGGAAGACTGGATCGTAAATTTCCTTTGCGGGATGATCGCGAAGTATGATATTAATCCGGATGATTTCTATTTCGCAAGTAAGCCGCATTGCCAGGGGAAGTCAAAGGAAAAACACGGACAGTGGCTGAAAAGAAGCTTATGTCGAATTTGTACCTATGCATCGGAGACGAGGCGTAACATTTTTCTTAAAACAAGGGAACCAGGAGTGGATATCAAGGCGGAACGGAATCTTCGTGTGTTGGACAATATGGAGCGTGTCTTTAAACGCGAACGAAATGTGACACATGAAAAGAGTTTATTCTACGGACGCAAACAGCGAGACCATGAAACATTCGAAAAGTTCCATGCAGAGCTCAGCGCGGTGGCGGGACGGTGTGACTTCACAAATGTAGCGGAGAACGTACGAGATATATTCATAACGAATATGAGAGAGTCGGACTGCCAGCGGAAATTATCGCGGTCAACGAAAACGCCGGAGGGAGTTTATAGGACTGCCTTATCCTATGAATGTGGACACAGAGCATACATATCGTATTCGGTAAAGCCAGCGTCGTCAGCGCCGTAGATGAACATCGAACAGGAACCGGTGGGAAACAGCCAGAGGGGAACGGGATATTACCGAAACCGAGGGCGAGGCGGTCGCGGAAACGGGCCGGGGGATCAAATACTAGGAAGACATATAATTGTGAACCCCCTAATTTTACAATGGAACACATAAACGTTTGCCCAGCAACGAATGCCACCTGTATTGTGTGTCGGAAGTTAGGCCAATTCGAAAAAACATGCCGAGGGATATTTCGTAAGACTAACCATTGGAAAGGAAGACGACGCGTGGGATTGGTGCACGAAGAGCAAGAACACCATCGAAGCAGCCACAGTATGGAGGGTAACGCCCGGGAGCAACCAGTAAAATGGGTAAACCAGGAGGCAGAAGGAGAGTATGATTCATCCACTGGAATTAGTGAAAATATGCTGATGGCGATAAAACGGGATCGTAAAGAAATAGAATTCAAAATTCCTAATGCAAAAGTTCTGGCCACTGTGTGGGAAGAAAATGTGGCTATCGGATGACAGCGAGGCTCCGGTAGCAATATTCAGCTTGCCCGAACTGACGAGGGTCATGAGGGGAGCTAACATTGATCTAATTCCTGGAGAGGATAAATTCTTGGATTACAACAATGATCGCATAAACATTCTGGGGTAATCTGAAGCGACAATCAAACTCAACGGGTGGGAAATCACCAATCAATTCTGGGGCGTAATCTGATGAGTTAATTGGGACTGGAACTGGTCCAAAGAAATCGCGTGATGTCAGTAAATGAGGACAACAAGAAGGCCGAGGAGGAACATGAACTGGACGAGTGGCAGTCATATTTCTGTAATTTGTTCGCAAAACTGTTTACTAGAAAAGGACTCATACGAAATGCCAAGGTACGGGCAAATTTCTTCAAAATACTAAAGCCCGTGCAACAAAAAGGGCAGAGAGTCTCCTTTACTCTCCAAGAAAAAGTAAATAGGGAAATAACGCGTCTCACTCAAGAGGGACATATAATCAAACTTGAAAAATGTTCGGATAAACATTTCGTATCTCCAATCGTAATCACTGTGAAAAAAGATAGAAGTATAAAATTAGCACTGGAATCAAGGGAATTAAACAAACAAAAACATAAGAATAAATACCAAACGCCAAATATACAAGAAATCATGGATGGAATAAGTCAAAAAATTGCAGAAAAAAAAGATGGTGAGGTCTATTTTACAACTCTCGATTTAACTTACGCGTACACACAAATGACGCTTGAGGCAAAAACTAGCAGGCAAGGTATTTTCTCACTAGTGGGAGGAAAATCCATGGGACCTATTGATTTAAAAATGGGTTTTACGTGGTAACAACAATGCCCGCCGAATTTCAAAAAGTCATGGATACATAATCAAGATTTCCCGCATGCACACGCATTTATCGACGACATTCTATTAGTTTTGAAAGGTACGAAAATCAAACTTATTTCATTATAAGAAAAAATTCTCAAGAAGTTCGACGAGGCGAACGCGTCATCGAAGCTCCAAAAGTACAAATTCGCAAAGTTAAGTTGCCAATGGTTTGTGCATAATATAAATAAAAACGGAATTATGCCATTGATACGAAAAACGAAAGCGATTGATGAGTTAAAAGAGCCACGGACGCGGCGACAGCTAAAGTCATTAATGGGTTCTCTGCATAGTTTGCAAAAATTCTTACTAAATCTTGCAGAAATAAACTCAGCATTAAGACCCCTCTTAAGCCAAAACAATGAATTTATTTGAACAAACCATTGCGAAACGGCGTTTGAGTCAAAGATTGATAGTAGCAAACATTATCAATTTTAAGCACGTCGATATACACAGAGAAACACGAATCCGGATTAGGCGCAATATTAGAACAACACAGTCGCGAAAGGATGGCAACCCATATCGTTTGCATCCAGATATCTAAATTCCTCCGAACTTAAATACTCAACCGACGAGCTAGAATTACTAGCGGTTGTATGGGCCATCGAACACTACAGAAACTACCTGTACGGCTGAGATTTTAAGATACTTCCAGATCATAAAGCCTTACTAACATTTGTAAATTCGTCTCCGAAAGGAAACAAAACCTTTTTCAGTAGATTAACACAATGGTATGACCAATTTAAAAGTAGAACACCGTCAATGATCGAAAATGGGAATAATTGAGTACTTATTAAGATACCCGTCAGCAGAAGCGACCCTTACAAGTCGGTACGACTCAACGTTCACTGTGGTGAAAATAAACATGATAAATAAAGCACTGAATCCGCACAAACAAGAAACGAAAAGTACGAAAAGCCGTAGGAAAACGGAACTCATGTACACGGAACTAATGTCACGAGAAAATGCCAATCGATAGAGGGCGAAAGTTCATCTAATTACATCTCAGCCAATGGCAGTGACATATGGCGTGAATATGCAAAAGCAAGAAGAGTTAAAAGTGTGCGGGTCGAGCGCGTAAAATCACGCGAGAAAATTCTAGTCAATGGCGATCAAGATATTTGCATAACGCGTAAAAAATGCACGAACGAAAATCAGAAGGACAGACTTCGTTCTCATTTTCACATCAATCTAAACGTTTTTGCGATAAGTTTTCAAGGATATGTCACAAAATTTTCCAACGTCAACACCAGATAAGCCAGATAACAGCACGGAAATTGTAAATACCTCAAGTCAGTCAGGCAACGTAAATCAAAACCCAGTCCTAAACAATCTAAATAACCCTACAACAACCCTAAGCTCAAGTAGCTCCGACTCAGACATTGAAATAATTTCGCAAGAAGATTACCCCATTACGATACAGCATCGAAAAAACTAAATACCATTATCTCGTTTCCATCGAAATTTCCAGGCCTTGCTTACCCCCTCGTTAACACGGACAAGTGCATTTGTTCTATTATACCAACGGATAGCAAAGTGGTGACAAATCCAGCACCCAGAGGTACTATCTCTCAAGACCGTGGAGGCAAACATCGCGAAGGAACCAATACTTAAAATCATCAGGGATTTATAAAAGACAAAAACCCGAAGGCCAAGGAAATAATCACGAACTTAGGACAGTACTATAGGCAACACTATGGAGATTTCGCAGTAAAGGAGAACTGTCTATGGATGGACGGCAGACTGGCGATACCAAAGGCATTAGCAACTCCATTCATGAAAAGTCTTCAATATTACCACCATGGCGGAGACAAAATTAACGCTGCATCCAAGGATATCTGGACGTCAATGATGCACCGAAATTTGGCGGCAACAGCGAATTTATGCATGCACTGTCTTGAAGCATATAAAAATCTGAAAACAGATATAGCCAAGGGTAATCTAAACAAAACATACGTACCGACAGAACCTAACGAGATAGTTCAATTGGATTTTTGTGGGCCGGTTAACTACGTAAAAGGACCAAAAAAGTACGCACTTTTTGCTGTTGACGTGTTTTCACATTGGCCGTCGGCCTCTGTTTGCTCCAGAAATAACTCAAGAAATGTTTTAGATTCTTGAAAAAGTACATAGCCACACACGAAAATCCTCGAAAACTGCATAAGGACCAAGCCTCTGGGTTTTTCTGTAACACTATTTAGAGAACGATTTTACGATAAGGAAAACATCGAACTCTGAAAGTCGTCGGTTAAAGAACAGCGGGCAACCGGTACGATTGAAAAAACCATCGGTTCGTTAAACAATTTTGTAAAAACCTACCTAAAGGAACAAGCAGAACAACGATTCAAACCATTAATTCTAAGAACAATAAGCGGTTTGCGATTCGTTCCTAACAATAAAACAACCTTAACTCCCTTTGAATCCCATCATGGGAAAGAAGCGTACAGTCCTAGGAAATCTAGTAAAACGTCCCCAATTTGAAAAATCTCATTTGGAGTAAAGTTGTATCCCAAAAACTGTCTGCTTTAGACAAAAAGAGTGGACGGCCTAATGACGAACCTTTCTTGATGGAGCATTGGGAAAAAAGGAGTGACATACGGGTGGCGCTTGAGTACTAACGTGGGCCTCGAATCCTGGTTGAACAGGAACTGGCTGAAGCAGAAATAGAATTGCAACACCCAAAAGCTTCACCCGAACTGCGGCACAAAACGGCAAAACCGAGTGGGTACACAGTGTACCAATAAACAGGCGTAACGAATCCGAACAACCCAACAAGTATAAAAAAATTAATTCAGAAAACTGAAAAATTAACGCAGCATACAGTAAAAATGAAAAGAGGCTATCTCT